AGACTGAATGAATATACAATACATACAGAGTCTGTTTATGACACAAACTATATAATCGCATGATAATTGTTTTATATACCCTTTATTTATGTACACATTTACATGTGTACATAATGTAAATAGAATAGAACAACATTTGATTTCACCTTTTTCACAAGAGACAATAATTTAATTGTCAAACTGATTTTGCTAACCGACATATAGAGTGTCAACAGGAAGTCCTGGTGACAAGAAATCACTAACAAACACTTGCATGTGCTCAGACACCTGCAAGTGTTCATTTCTCCATCTCTACTTACCCTTGTTGTTGCTCTTGGATTCCCTCTTGCAACTCCATTTCCCACAATGCCTGAAACCGCCTGTGCAGCAACAGAACGGTGACAAGTGAAGAAGAAGCCTAGATGTTATAGAAGCTGTTAGAATGTAAAGACGTCCTTTCTGTCTGCTTTTGAATTTCAAGATGTGCGACACAAGGGTCCTCTCTCACCGGCGTTCCCTGGTCACCCACTACATGCCCCACACATTCACAGTTTGAGTTTCAGGTTGGATACCCTCTGTGTGACTAAGACAGGGAAGCCCATGCAGGTGTTTTAGTGACTCAGACCTGGAGCAGAGGATGGAAAGATGGTGGGCTCACTGAGAACGTTCTGACTGGGTCTCCCCTCTCACACACAGCATCAACAGAATCCCCTGCTTACTGAAAATGAGGCAAAAACCTGAAAGCAACATGGTTCCCATCATGGTTTCATATGTAAAAAATAATCAAAGTAATTAATGAAGATCAAAAGTCAAACTCAAGTTACGAAGATAATGAAGGATTAAGAAATTGTGTGAGAAGGTGAAGAGGATGTTTGAACAGCAGGTTAATGTTGTCTTTTCCTCTCTGTTACTTAATTCTCTCTCTTTGTCTCTCCACCCACCTGTGGAACAAATAATTCGCCCACTGGAGCCAAAATGTCACCTATTGTTGCCCATCACCAAATTGTTGCATTTTACTTTCCATCACTGAACAGGAAATAGGATGGGCCCGGAGTTGCGCCATAGCTGCTGTCGCTCTCGCTCTCCTCAGTCGATCTGAAGAGTTTCACTTCCCCACTTCACTTGAGTGAGTGAATTGAATTCAAGTCACACCGTTGTTCTGTGGAGCGACGTGTCACCCAAAAAACAAACACTTAATAAATCCAGAATATTTGTGAATTTTCCTTTGAATTCCTTGAGCAACCGATTAAACATAACAAACTGATATTCAATGTAACCGGACTGATGACCTTAACATGTCATCTGTCCTCTTAGTCTTAGAAGAGAAGATTAAGTCAAAACCAAGGCACCACGTGTGCGAATGAATGGCTGTTTTCCTGTTGGCCGATGCTCTTTCAAAATTTCAAATTGGAACAAACTGTTTTTTTATTGGACCCTCTGATCTTTTAAAAAAAAAAAAAGAGCAACTGGTTAATAATCTTTCAATGTTTCAGACAAACCTGAGCTGCTCTCTGAGAAGACAGTAGCCCGCACGTTCACATATGCACTGTAGTTTCAAAATTCGTCAAGGCTTTACAGAGAGGAGCTGTTTGTGTGAATATAGTAGACAGTAAAAAGGGACCACATGACAGCTCCCCAAAAGTAAAGCCATATGTTTAATTGCCACCTGGTGGCTGACTGCAGTATAGATCATAAACCCTGCCTCAGTCAGTGATTGGGACATGGACCCAAAATAAAAAATTTAAGTTAACAAATCAACTTATCTCAAGGATGGTTTCTGTAATCTTAGGTAGTTGTTAGGACACTGATGTTTGTTAAAGTGCAAATCTTTTTTCATTTTGAAAACGGGGTGAAACATCATGATTGTCAGCTGCGTGTGGTGAGCGGGGTGGGGGGCAATCTTAAGGGAAACACCATAGACTGTATGGGAAACACACACATGCAGGACGTAAAGGGAAGTGAAACACATGATTAAGATCAGAACAAAAATAAAAATAGAAACTTTATTGTCATTGTACAACAAACAACAAAATTAAGGTGCAGCTCCAGAAAGTGTTTCAAGGGATAGTTGACCCACCACCAAAGAAGCCTGAAAGTAATATTTACATTCACATTAGTGCAGCGCACACACACACCCACCCACCCACCCACCCAACCACACACACACACACACACACA